ATGGAAACTTCTATACCGATTTCAAAGGAAAGCCTACAAGGTCAGACAATATGTAACTGAGTGAGGATCCCTGCAGACAGCCTCTGAGGTGATGCATAAAGTCATGAATGTGAAGTCAAAGACACTGAGGGCCCCTGGAAGTTAGAGAAGCCTGGAAAGTGAAACATTTGCTGAGGAAAACTGTAGGCAGCAAGCAGAGATCCTTGAAAGGGGACCCATGTGGGCTACATCTGGCAAGACCACAGCAGTAAGGCTGCCAAAGCTGCATGGAGCTCACAGAATGCCACCACAGATCTCAGATGGAAGACCTGGAGCTCTGCTGGGGTTTAGTCTTATGTAACCAATTGCTTCCTTGCTATTCTCATATCCTTTTCATTTGGAATGGGAATATTTACTCTTGTGTCACTGAGTACTGGAAGCATGTAACTTGCTCTTTTATTTTATTGGCACCTACAGCTAAGAGTTGCCTGAGGCTCAGGAAGAGATTTTGAACTTGGGCTTCTGAACAATGTTAGAATTACTAGGACAATGGAGACTCATGGTGCTGGACTGAAAGTATTCTGCATTGAAAAGTAGACATGAGGGACTTGGGGGCCATGGATGGAATATTATGGTTTAAAGAGATGTATTTGGGTGTCATGTTGATGAAAAGTGGGCGTATTGATGATTTTGAATAGTGAACTTGAACTTGATTAGTCACCTAGGAGAAATTAGTAAAGTACACCTCTGGGTATGTCAGTGAGGCTCTTTCCAGAGAGGAATTAACTAAGAAGAGGTTATCAATCTTGAATGTGTGTGGCCCTAGCCCATGGACCAAGTGCCTAGATGGAATAAAACAGGGCAAAGGAGAAATCTCATAGCCCAAAGGCAATGCCCTCCCTCTGCTCTGCTCTCTGGCTGCCAAGAGGTGAGCAGCCTCTGCCACATGTTCCCATAACCAAGATGAAGGATGCCTCTGTCAAGCAAGACTCAATCAGCCATGGACTCAATTTTGGGAATTGTGAACAAAAAATACGCAAAAAAACTTCTCTTCCTTTAAAATTGTTTTTCTTAGTTTTGACAGCAATGACTAACAGCTAATTAACACAATGGTGTGAACAATGGAAAAGGAAGACAGATCCCCTCTTAGCATCTGGACTACATGTCAATAATGTCCACTTAGAGAACTCGGGTAAATGTATTTTGTGAATTTTGCCGTTCTTTAGGGGAAAATATTCAAGTTTATAACAAGATACAATGTGTTTGGCAAAGTAAAGCTTCTCTGTGTTTCAATAAATTGGTATTTTAGAGCAAATTCCTAGTTCCTTGTGTACATAATAAAGTGTATTGCAAAGATGAGCATAAAATAAACTTGCCATGTTTCCTCATCTTACTTTTAAAAAGCACTATGATAAAATATCTAACCAAAGAAACTTGAGAGAGGGAATGTTCACTCTTGGTACAGTTTCCTAGGGCACCACGGCTGGGAAAGCACATGCTGGCTGGAACTTCTCTGTTTGCAAAGTAGGGACTTGCAGTGTAGCTTGTTCATACCTTGAAAAATCAGAAAGTAAAAAACTTGGGCCAAAAGCAGACAGTATCTTCAGAGATAGTATCTCTAGTGACCCACTTTCCCTAGCAAGATCAGTCAGTTCCAAAACTCTCCACACAAGTATTATTGGGAACTTAATCCTGAGCCTTACACATGCTAAGTGTCATACCACTGAGCTCTATCCCTGATAGCTTTTCTTATTTCACATAAGTATACCTGAGACTAAAACAAGACAAAATCATTAGAGTTATTTTATATGAGATAAACTATAACTGTAGAAAGTAGCAGTAATGACCAATAGGCACAGGAAAGGACTACCTGGACAGGACACCAGCAGTGCATCCATTAAGACAAACAACTGACAAATAAGACGTCATGCAACTAAAAAGGACACCATCATTTGAGTGAAGAGGCAGCCTGAAGAATGGGGGAAAAAGTCATCACCAGCTACACATTTGACAGAGTTTAGTATTTACAATATACAACTCAATAAACTAAGCATCAAGAAAACAATCCAATTTAAAATGGGGGAAGAAATTAATAGACTTCTCAAAAAATGAAATGTACATGGCTGAGAAATGTTTTTCAAAATGTTCAGCATCCACAGCCATCAGGGAAATGCAAATCAAAATGACTGTGAGATGTCATCTTACCCAATCAGCATGGATAACATTAAAAAAATGACAAAAAATGCTAATGTGGATATGGGAAAAGAACAACACCTATCTGCTGCAGGTGCAAGTGCCTATTGCTGCAGCTACTATGAAAACCATTGCAGCGGTTCCTCAGAATGCCAGAAAAAGCTCTACCACATGATCCAACCATACCACTCTTACGCATATTCCAAAAGGACTCTGTATCCTACTACAGAGAGATACCTGTTCATCCACCTTCACTGGCCCTCTTCATAACAGCCAGAAAATGGAGACAATCTAGATGCCAGCAACTGATTAATGATAATCAAATTGTGGTGAATTTACACAATGGAATATTATTTAACTGTTAAGAAAAATGAAATTATGAAACCCACAGGTAAATGGATGGAACTGGAAATAATCATCCTGAGTGAGGTAACCTAGATACAAGAATGCAAATGCTGCATGTTCTCACTGATAGCTGGATTCTAGTTTAAATTTTTTGATATGCATGTTTCAGTTGGAAAGACCAGAGAGGAAACTAATAAACAGTCATGGGCAGGATGTGTGTGTGTGTGTGTGTGTGTGTGTGTGTGTGTGTGGCGAGGGATGGGAGATAGGAGATAGGATAATGTAGTGATATAAAGAGGGTAAAATAGAGTAAGAAGGGAGAAATGGGGTAGGGAATGGGAGGGCAGGGCAGAGGAGGGAGTATAAGTGAGGAATAACTTGATATTAAAGACCTTTAGAAAAAGCATATAGAAGCCTACCACTATAGAAACTTCTTGAAGTACATATACATACATTATAAAAAGAGATTTAAAGGAATTACCTTATAATAGGGGGACATGTCTCCTATCAGACATCACAGGCTAGTAAAGTAAAGGCCCAATATCTGGAATGAACTCTGTCTTTTGAAGGGGTCCCAAATAGCCTCAAACAATACTGGTCATCACCCCTGCTCTTAATTACCCATGAGAACTTGACAGTATGACCCTATTGCTGAAGACACTACATACATAAGCCATGGTTTTAAAAAAATACAAGAGGAAATCAAGCTGATACTGACATTAAAGCTTCACCTCTACTAGCTAGCTTTCACAGCATTTGAAAATCTAATGCTTGCTACCAGAAGAGAAAATCACCAGCTGTGAACCCTGTTAGCTACAACTGGCCTGGCAAGGTATGAACTCTGATGCAACAGTGGCATGAATATTATGGAATAACTAATCACTTTCTAATTGAATTTAAGGTACAGTTTGTAAGCTGGAGCCCATACCTGACACTGATACTAGGCCTAGGAACGGAACCTGTGGCTAGACAGGTCACAAGCCATAGTGGACAGCCTAAAACTATTATTATGCTAAATACAGTATTAAACTGACTCCTTATGACTTATAATTATACCCACAGATTAAAAACTTTGAAGTGAAGAATCCCAAAATAAATAATTATATTTAGTGGGTATAATAAGAACAATCTTATTTCTTGGCCAAACACCATGAAGATAAATAAATCACACCTAGGTATAATACAATGACTATGTCCTTGGAAGATTTATCAATGCGATTGATGGTTCCCAGCTCTCCTCTTAAATAAAACTTGATAAATGAAAGCAATAGTTATCACAAGTAGAATGTTTTTTCAAAACTTGGAGGATCTAAGATTTGTTTTATATGGTTAAGGGAGCTAGAACTTTGAAACACATGTAAAATTATTTTTTTATAGTCTGCCTTGGGCCAGAAGAGAATCTTGCTTCAGTAAAATTTGGACATTAGATCTGTACACATAGTAACTATGAAAATCTTATCTATTTACTTGTATACTTTTGAAGAGGTTTTCTTAAAATGATCCAATAAGAAAGTATATCATTTGTCAGGGCTGATCATTACAAGTGGTTTACACAAGTAAACCTGGAGGCTCTGGTTTCCCAGAGGCAATGGTAACACTTTTATGTCCACAAAAGAAGGCATGTGGTTAGGTGCTTTCACTCAGAAGTCAACAATAAAGATCCATCTGAAGCTGTAGCAAGATAGACAAGATGCTTCAACATGACCTAAGTAAAAGTACTACTTTCATAGTTTGGAATTATAAACAAATCTACGTATTACTCAAGGAAATTACATTGCCTTCAGTGATAGTCTCTGTTAAATCACAATTTTACAAAATCTAGAATCACTTGGGAGATGGGCCTCTTGGTTTGCCTGTGGGAGATTATCTTGATTGTGTTAATGAAGTAGGAAGACCCACCCACTGTGGATGGATCCATTCTCCTGGGCTGAAATCCTGGACTTGTAATGAAGAATGGAGACTGAGTAGCTTGCATGTATTTGTCCCTCTGTTTCCTGATTGTGGATAGCATGTGACCAGCTACTTCAGCCTTCTGCTGTCTTGATGTCTCTGCCATGATGGACTGTACCTTGGACTGTGGGCTAAAATAAAACCTTTCTTTCCTAATTAACTTTTGTCAGACTATTTTATCATAGCAACAGGAAAAGGAACTAAGACAAATACTTTCCTAATTTAGAGTCACCTTTCTTCTGGGAAATGAATTAAAAGAAACAAACAAACCAGTTTTACCTTTCAGTCTTTCCTCACTAAAAACACAGTAAAATAAAGTCAATGAAAGGAAAAAGAGGGGGGGAAATCAGGATTCATAATCAATATTAGACAATATACCTCTTAAAGACATTGGGGAAGCACTTATGCCTGACAGGAAAAACCAGGGCTGTCTGCTGGAAACCTTTCAGGATACAAAGGAAAAGGTATGTTTTGACTATTTTAGAAAAGCTGCAATCCCACTCATTAATAAAGTCAAAACCATGAGGACTCACCCTGTAGAGAGGATGGTACATTTCTTCAAAACATGGAGCCAGTTGTGCATAGATCTGGAGGCTGTAGTAATAAGCTGCCAGCTGGAGAGACAATGCTGAGGGAGATTGTTTCTCAAAGCACTTGGTAGCATCCAACACCTATGAAAAAGCAAGAGAAAATTACCTCTGTTGAGTTTTTGAGACAGGGTCTTACTACGTAACCCAGCTGGCCGGGAACTCACTATGAAGACCACCACAGGCAGACCTTGAGCTCACAGTGATCTGCCTGCCTCTACCTCCCAAGTGATGGGATTAAAGCCATTTGCCTTTAACATAAATTGATATAAACTTCCCAACATTCTCAACTCAAACTCAATGTAGTGTGCAGTACAAAAATTTAGAAGTCTTTGTAAGGTAGACTTTACTATATAAAAGTGGATTTAAAGATGAACATTAATGCCAGCATTATAAAATTTGCTCTCTGGATATGGACTAGGGCCCTTTTGGTACCTAAGAATTATCAGGAAGAAATATAATATATAATTTACATATTTATGCATATAATACATAATTTCACTGACAAAAATCCCAGTTCTTTGTTGGTAAAGGCAAACATACCTGTGGTAATGCAAGGAGATAAGCAAGAGCCAATGTCATGTCATTCGGCAAAGCATCACTTGCTAGTTGCAACAGAACTGAATGCAGGAACCAAAAAAAAAAAAAAAATTACATTACCTGGGGTGGAACCTACTGTTATTTTGCTAAACTGTCAAAGTACCTTACACATATTTATGTTTTTACCCATAAACCCGTGTTGCCCTCAACCTTGACCAGAGAAACTTTTTGCAGTGAGCAGCAGTTAATAGAGAGGTACATAAAGATTCAAAGCGCTGAGAATAAGACAGTCAGTGCTCAGGCATAAATGAGATACCTAGAACAATAACACACATACCACCACCACCACCACCATCCCCCGCCACCAAGCTCAGGAAAAATGACAGAAGAAGAGGTGGAAAAATCTAAAAGCCAGGAAGGATGGAGGAGAGCTATGAAAGGATGCCTTCTGAGCTTGACAGAGCTAGTGCACTTGTGCACTCACAGCAGCTGTGGTTACCGCACAAGACCTGCACAAGATCCAGCCAGCCAAAATTCTGACATAGACAGGGTATATGGTTTTTATAATACACCCCTTACTGAGGAGCTACTGGCAATTGATAGTTACTTGGGGAGGGAGAAGCACTGTTCTTTAAGGATGTGGCCATGTGGCCATTGATAGACTGGAGGGAACATACCTCAACATAATTAAAGCCATATACAACAAACCCACAGCCAACATCATTCTAAATAGAGAAAAACTGGAAGCAATCCCATTGGAACCAGACAAGGCTGTCCACTATCTCCTCTTTTCTTCAACATAGTGCTTGAAACCCTTGTAAGAGCAGTAAGACAAGAGAAGGAAATTAAAGGAGTAATAATTGGAAAAGAGATCAAATTATCCCATTTTACAGATGTTATGATATTATATATGAGATGCCAAAAATTCCATGAGAAAACTCCTAGAAATTATTAACATGTTCAGTAAAGTGGCAGCTTACAAAATTAAACTACAAAAGTTGGTAGCCTTTCTATATACAAATAACAAGCAATCAGAGAAAGAGCACATGGAAACACTCCCTTTCACAATAGCTGCAAAAAAGATAAAACACCTTGGAATAAACCCAACTAAAGACCCCTACAATGAAAATTTTATATCTTTAAAGAAAGATTGAGGAAGACATCAGAAGATGGAAGGACCTCCCATGCTCATGGATTGGAAGAATTGATATTGTGAAAATGACCATCCTACCTAAAGCCATTTATAGATTCAATGCAATGCCATTGAAGAATGCCATGACATTCTTCACAGAGTCGGAAAAAACCATCCAAGGTTCATCTGGAAGTACAAAAGACCTCAGAGACCCAAAGCAACCCTGAGCACTAAGAGCAATGCTGGGAGGCAGGGGAGGGGGGATTACTATACCAGATTTTAAAAACTCTATTATAGAGCTATTGTCATAAAAACAACATGGTACTGGCACAAAAATAGACCCATAGATCAATGGAACAAAACTGAAGTCCCAAATATGAGTACATGCAATTTCAGCCACCTGATATTTGACAAAGGGGCCAAGAACATTAACTGGAGGAAAGACAGCATGTTCAGCAAATAGTGCTGGCAAAACTAGATCTCCACCTGTAGAAGAAAGAAACTAAACCCCTATTGTCCACCTTGCACAAAAGTCAACTCCAAATGGGTCAAAGACCTCAATGTGAAGCCTGAAACTCTGAAACTGTTAGAAGAAAACATTGGGAAAAACCTACAAGATATAGGTGTAGGAAAGGATTTTCTAAACAAGACTGCAATTGCTCAGGAAACAAGGGCAAGAATTAACAAATGGGACCTCATTAAACTGAAAAGCTTCTGTACATCAAAGGAGGCAATGAGGGAAGTGAACAGAAAACCCACAGGATGGGAGAAAATCTCCAGCAGCAACACATCTGACAGAATTTTAACATCCAGAATATATAATGAACTCAATAATAAAAAATCAAGAAAGGAAGATACCCAATTAAAAGACGGCTAAGGAGCTGAAGAGAGTTTTCAAAAGAAGAACTAAAGATGGCTAAGAAACATCTTAAAAGGGTGTTCAACATAATTAGTAATTAGGCAAATGCAAATTAAAACCACTTTAAGATTTCATCTTACCCCAGACTGGCTAAGATCAAGAGAACAAATGACACCAAATGTTGGAGAGGATGTGGGGAAAGGGGAACACTCATCCACTGCTGGTGGGATTGCAAACTTGCTCAACTCCTATGGAATGCAGTGTGGGGAACTCTGAAAATGAACCTACCATTTGACTCAGTTATACCACTCCTTGGCATATATCCAAAGAACTCATCCTGTTGCAGAGACACTTGTACATCCATGTTTGTTGCTGCTCTTTTCACAACAGCTAAGAGATGGAAGCAACGTAAGTGTCCCTCAACTGACGAGTGGATAATGAAAATGGGGTTCATTTATATGACGGAGTTTTACACAGCAGTAAAGAAAGATAAAATCACTAAATGTGCAGGTAAATAGATGAAACTAGAAACTGTTATACTAAGTGAAGTAACACACTCTCAGAAAAAAAAAAAGACTTATGTTCTCCCTCACATGTGGATCCTAGCACCAAATCCTTGTTGAGTATGTATTAAGACATAACTACAGGAACCAGGATAATGAAAAGGAACCAGGGAGGTAAAGGAAAAGAAAGAATCTGAAAGAGAAGAACAGGAGGAAAGAGGTGTTAATAAGGGAGATATGGATAAAAATGGGGTTATTTCAAGGGGAAAGGGGAGGGAGGGTTATATAAGGAAGCTTGAGGATAAAGGGAAAGAGGGTGCTCAAGAGAGGTGGGACCATAGGAGCAGTGTATTATTAAGGGAAAAATGCAAAAAATGGGGGCTCTTTAAATGGGGAAACCACGGTGGAAGGGTTGGACAATGAGAGAAATAAACAATGCCTAGCTAGTTTTAAAAAACCAGAGGGAACCATATTAGTCCAACAACCTACTGGCAAATTATACATACAACTAGATCAAGGAATATAATACATGTCTAGGCAAGGTTTATCTGAGAACATTTGGTCTTTGCCCAAGCTTTATCTACATACCACAGAGTAATTATAAGACTGGTGGAACTAATCTTCTTGGATGTCTAACAGCTATACTTTGAGGTCTATACTAATTCATCAGAGGGACATAAAGGACAGTTTTTGCTTCTTGCCCTCCTAGGTTTACTAAGCTCCAGGGGACTAAGAGTATCTCTCAAAATGTCCTGTAATTGTGGTACGCCATCTGTCCTCTTGATCAAGGAGGCTATGGAGACCCCATCAAAGGGACCTGAACCAGTGTCCAGTCTACAAAGAGGAAGGTCAACACAGAGGAATCATTTCTTCCATGCTTCCAAGGGAAGCAAGACATGGATGAGTAGGACCTTTGACTTATCTTCACATAGATGGAACTGGTAAAATAAGGAGCCAGGGGCTCCTCCCAAGCCCATGTGACCCCTGAGGAACAGATCCTAAAACAACCTTAACAGTAAAATTAAATTGGTTTATCTGGGCCAACTGTATGGTCTTAAACACGCAAAAGGAAAGTATAACCAAAGATTAAAGGGATTAATATAATTCTTTAAGAGTACATGTGTATAGCTAAAAGCTACATAACAAGAAACAATGACAGAGAGGCGATATCTCCCTTTGAGTTGTTGGCCAGGGTGGTCCAAGAGACTCCCAGACAGCAACTCAGCATAGATCTGGGAAAATGAACAGCAGACCCCAATCTTATCTAAAGGAATATTGACAACTGATTGCTGCTAGATGAGATCTTCCTAAAATAAGGCTCTCTAAATAGGCTGACTAGATTCAGTGGATGTACAACCACTGGGGAATGGCTGGGGGCACCAACAACACAGTGGACAGTAACAGGAATGACAGAGTATATGGGCTCCAGAGCAGGGGGCAACTATGGTAGGGTGCCATTTGGGATGTGAGTATATAGATAAATAAGATTGTTTCAGATGTTTTGTAGGAAACACACACACACAAAAACAACAAATTAAAAAAATAAGTTATATTTGAGGAAGAAGCATAAAAATTTGCTTCATGTTAATTGGTAGAGGTGAAACACAGTACCATTGAAATCTACCTGATGATTTTATATCGAGGCTCAGGTGTCAAGGATCTCAGAAAGTAACCAATGGTGACTAGTAATAATCAGATACATAGAGATTAGAGACGCATGTGCAAACATCTAAGTGTTAGTAGCATTATAAATGAGTTTTTCTGGGCTGGAGAGATGGCTCAGCATTTATGAACACTGACTGCACTTGCAGAGGACCCAGGTTCGATTCCCAGCACCCACATAGTGGCTACAAACTGTCCTTAATTCCAGTTCCAGGGGAATCCGAAGCCCTCTTCTGACCTCTGAGGCACTGCACGACATGGGTGCACTCATATACATGCAGGCAATACACTCATACACATAAAAATAAAAATAATGTTGGGTGTGGTGACGCACGCCTTTAATCCCAGCATTCAGGAGGCAGAGGCAGGCGGATTTCTGTGAGTTCAAGGCCAGCCTGGTCTACATAGTGAGTTCCAGGACAGGTGGGGCTACAGGGAGACCCTGTCTCAAAAAGAAACCCCCCAAAAATAAATAAATAATAAAATAAAATATTTTTTAAAATGAGTGTTTCTGTATAAACAGTGTATTTTAAAATGAAATGGCAATCTTTTTTAAAGGTTAAAACCTCATTCAATTTTATTTCTTATAGGGTTTACACTGAGTTCAATATTGTATAACTGTATTAATTCAACTGTGAACCTAAAAATTACAGCCAATTTTGAAAGAGATGCATCTTTACCCTGGAAATTGTTATTGAATATGTTAATGCTGTAATGAAATTCTTCTTCTAATCCTGTGGTTATTGAATAAATAATTTTTTTAAAAAGAGAGAGAGACATGAAGTTATAAGGGGACCTGCTAAGGGAGATATAGGGAAGCTGCATGGGGGAAATGGGAGATAAATACGATCAAATTTCACTGTATGCATATACCACATTCTCAAGAATAAAAATAATTTAAATTACATGACTTTGATGAAGGAT